CAATTAATCCCATTAAAAGGCCTCACATGCCTGAGGATGTGAAAGAGCTACATTTCGACGCGAGACATCGAAATCAATCCGGCCACAACTCGAGAGATCGCCGCCCGAGAGTTGAGCGTGTATTTTTAGTACAACGTCTGGTTTAGTATTTTTAGTAAGGAATATAACGTCCACTTAGGCAATACGTCGGAAGTTAACGGACTGATAGGAGACGCTCAGCGGAAAATTACGCAACAGTTACGAGGCTGTTTTGCCTTACTGCGAACGTGGTCTAGCGTGAGCGAAGACGCCTGGCGTGCGTCTTCAGGGTCGGACGCATTGACGCCTACAACGAGGAGGAGCATGCGAAAAGTACGCAGTAACGGCCTCCGCAAAATCGATCCTCTATCAAAGAAAGCAAAAGAGAGAGAGAGAGAGAGAAATAGGGAGAGAGAAAGAGTCGTTGCCTCGCGTCCATCAGCGGTAAGAGGCGAAGGTGGCTCGCTTCGATCGTGGATTAATCGCGCGATAACCGGACATTCCTGGCATCAATCGGCGCGCTCCAGCTTGGTATAGACGCGACGTTCTCTGACGGGGGCTAATAGCGCGTTCTGCAGGTAACTGCCGATAAAACGCCGTCGATGGGAAAACGAAACGGGTCCGTAAACACGCGCCTTCCTTACGCCCCTTCGCGTTTACGGCCGCGGACTCGTGCGCCTCGCTACCGTAATTATGCGGATGCACTGCACCGTGTAGCTCGCGCGACACCACGTGCGCGATATGCTGCCTCTGTCCTGGTTCCAGCCGGTTTCGACCGGCGTCGCGAAGGGGTTGGCCGCCGTCGCAAGTGACAATTTGCCGTCGAAAAATCGCTACTGACCGTAACTCTTAACCGACTTCTTTGAAATTAATCGTCAACAAATTTCAAAGAAAACTGCGCAGCTCGATTTTTAAAAAGTACCCCCTGAAATGTGCAATATTAATAACAATCCGGGAATTATTAAATTATACAAACGTTGAATTAGAAGAATACTATTTTCTCAGTTATTTTTGCACTAAGCTATCATATATGTTATAATGTGCAATAATATTTATATTCTATAACATCAATATTAAAATTTAACAATTGGTAAATTATAAATAAACACATTTCCACAGAATTATTTTCATTTCATATTATATAATTCTGATTTTTTCTTCAATCTGAAATAAAATGTGATGAGGAAATTTAAAAAGAATAACTTAATAAGGATCTTACTAGGAATCTTTAATAAGATCCTAATATCTATATTGCATTACATGATTTACTAGGACCTGATAGTATTACCTTATTCGGATCTAATAACCAACTAAGGTTAACTTGATCAGGGCCATGGGGTAAATTTCTAGTCGGACCGCACTAGGGTTTTGTAGGTTGCTGAACGCGAATTTAGTGTCATGATTTTCAGATTCCTATTAATATTGCAAATTTTATAAATGGGACCTATTTTAAAAATTGAGCTCTACAGTTTTCTTTGAAATTTATTAACGATTTCAGAAAAGATTCCTCTTGGTTGGTTAAGAGTTACGGTCTGCAGCGATTTCTCAACAATAAATTTTCCCCATTGTACGTCGGTCGCGTGCGAGCGTCGCGTCGCATCGCGCCGCGCCGGCAAACGGCGTCTCGCGAATTTCCAATTCGAGGAGAATACACGGGCGAATAAACGCCGGTGTGAGGAAGCGCTCATCGCACGTGGTTGGCCGTTGCTTGCTTCTCGTGACACGCGTTCGCATAAATTAAAATTGAAAATCGGGCGGGACGAATATCCGCGGTTTTAAACACTCGCTGAAGGTAAAAGGGAACGCTTGAAGTCGCAAGACGCGGCAATCGATACCACGAGCGAAATGAACTTGCGGGGAATTTCGATGCACAAGGTCAAAGAAGTGTCGTGGGAAATTAGCGGAACAAGAAAAAGGACGGCGGTCTGGTAGGGAACAAAGCTACACGATACGGTTTGTGTGTAATCGATCCGGAAGATCTTTACATTTTGATTAATTCGTCGCAAATTTTCCTCGCGAAGATATTGCGATTCTGCGAGCATGAAGTATACAGCGATGTCTCTCTCTTTCTTTACTTGAAATTCATAATTTCACGCGAGACATATGGGTCATGTACGGAATTATTAATGAGATTGTCGAATGTCACTTGATAATGTGTCATTAATTAACGTAATAATGTTCCTTCGAGTTATTCACCAAAATCTATTTCACACATTTTATTTCTATAATCCGCAACGGGGAATTCAGAGAGAATTCAGGATCGTATAATTTTATTCATTAGAAAATATTTTGAGTAGTCAAAATTAAATTTACGATGCATGTGTACTCATATACACATCTGTAAATCTTCAAACGTTCCTTCTGTTACATGCCGCGTAACATTTCCAAGAGAATTCGCGATCCAAGTATCGCGAGTTGGAATTAGAATGAGAAAAACTCGTAATTTTTGGCCCGAAGACCAAATTTTGATTGAAGAACGGTCATTATAAACCGTTTAAAGTAATATTACGGAAAGGAATATTACTTTAGTGAGCTAATAATTCGGTAATTGCTGTGTACAACTAAAAACAACTAAAAATACGATTTTGCGTCATTATCACGCAAAGTAAACGATCTTTTCATCGATGCCGTATTCAAACTCTGCAGCGGGAAGGAATTTTCGAGCGCAGTGCTCGCAGTGCGCAATTATTCGCGGGTTAATTGGGAACTCTCGTAAGCGAGCCGGTAACGTACGCGACTGCGTTTCGTGGACTCTTACGCCAGTTACGAGCCGCTGATTTTCTAAAGAGAGGCAAATCGCGTGTTTTTTCTTCGGCGCGAGCCGTGCCAGCCGCGTGATTCCGCCCGTGGAAATGCAAATACGCCGTTTGTTTGCGCAAATTGTGATCGGTGTCGCAAGTATGCCGGCATGTTTGCCTTGCCGTCTTGCGGATCGGACGATGAGTCCGATGAGTTATCGTCGTTATCGATAACATTCGACGTAATGTCTAAATTTGCATACGATTCTCGCGATCTGCGACGTTCCACCGTAGCTCTTTCTCCATTTTTAACTCGCCGAGTGTCCACGAAAGGGTTGATCAACCCTCTAGATCCTGACGAGAAATTTATATACACACACACACACACACATACACGTACAGAGAGAATGTTATAGAGAATGTTATAGAATTTTCTGTATAAACTCTTTCCAATTTTATTATCTTCTATTTTATATTTTTTCCGTTTTCTGGTTGTTCAGAAGAAGACTTTGAGGATGTATTCCAAATTTTTTCTATTCAATTTTCTAGACAATTTTATTATAAAATTAAAGATAATCATTATAATTAGATTACGAATATATAAGTTACCGAATATACCCGTTTCATATCTCTTTTTCTTTCTCTCTCATTTTATGTTATGTGCTATCACCTGCTACTTCAGCCGCTGCCATGATTCTGTCATTTCCAACGAGAACTTGAGTGACGTGATTCTTAATGCAAATAATACTTTACGAGCAAAAGTATTTCATTTATATAATAAATTACATTCTTTAATTTTTCTACTAATGCAACCCGTCACACTTGAAACTTTTTGGAGCCCATTTTGGGTAAGAGGATATACTTTGAAACTAACTTATTTGTAATCTACATTTGTGATTATCTTTGATTTTATGACAAAATTAATTTGGGAATATGAAGAAATCGGAGAGCATGTCTTGGCCGCGGTCCTTCGCTGAAAGCATGGCAAGTGCTTTAACAGCACATTTCAGTTTCCAAAATATATAAGTAGCGCATATGAAGCGAAAGGATAGTAAATCACTACGGAATGTCGGTCTATTCGTCGGTTACAAAGTCCTACGTATATTTTTACTTAAAATTTTCTCCGTGCACGCGCATATTTGAAATTTGGATTTCGCGAAACAATAAAATATCAGAGGTTCATAATAGATCTTGATAATTTCATGTGAAATCAAAGTGAAAATAATTAATATAATATAATCAATCACATCAATTGATTATTGTTGTCCCGGTTAATTGCGTGACATATGAAGTGAAAGGATAGTCGAATCACTGCGGAATGTCGGTCTATTCGTCGGTTACAAAGTCCTATGCATATTTTTATTTAGAATTTCTTCTGCGCATACTTGAAACTCGGATCCCATAAAACAATAACATATCAGAAGTTCACAATAGATCCTGACAATTTCGTGTGAATTTAAAGTGAAAATAACTGATATAATTAATCGTATTAGTTGATTATTATTGCCCCGGTAAATTATGTTGGTGACATTCATATAATTGTTGCAGCGTTTGTTTTCGGTTGGCTAACGGCGAAAGCACCGGCTCGCGTTATGACAGCGCCGACAGAAGGAAAAATTGCACCGTCGCGGTTTGCGGAGTAGGTCAGGAATTAATCGGGAATTAATCGCGCTCTCGCGATCCGACTGTCGGCCCCGCTGAGGATTGGATAGAGCACGCTGCTTCGGCTGCGAGGAACGGCGACGGAGGGAGACGCAAAGGGATCGATTCGGTAATACGAAGGGAATGCACCACCTTCCCCTCTGGCCCAGCCCCCCGTCGCTCGACCTGAAAAGGGGGTTGAAATGGAAAAGAATACTTCGCAACGTACCGCGAATCAGTTCGTGTGACTCTCCATGGCTGACCGACCTTGAGAATCTTCCCCTTTTAAATAGGGCGCCACTCGAGTCCCGACGAGCTAATGAATATTTACGTTACGTCTCCTATGGAGGAGAGTTTCTCCTCTGAAGATTCGCGACCTGCCCAACCGAACGCAACGAGACACTGCCAACGAGATTCCGAAAACACACCGGGGGCAATCCAAAGGACGCCCAAACGAAAACAGCCAGGAGACTATCTTCGCGGCGAGGTGGTCCCGGGGAGAGCTCTTAAGTAAACTGCTGAAGCAACCGACTCGGAAAGTACACGTGGAAACAACTCGGTAAGCGCGGAAAATAGAAGCGAAGTCAAGTCGTCGGTACTCACGGACGAAGATGTTGCTCATCAACGTGGCCGGCAGGCAGAAGACGATGACGAGCACGTCGGCGACCGCGAGATTGACGATGAAGAAGTTCGTGACGGTGCGCATACGTGGCGAGCGATACACCACGGCGATGACGAAGCTGTTGCCGATCAGACCGACCACAAATACGACCACGTAGGCCACGCAGTAGACGGCCGACATGGCCATGCTGTGCCGGTAGAGCCGGTCGGGGCTCTGCTCGATCGCTGACAGATTCGTCTTGCTGGCGTTGAACAGCCCGTGAACCTGGCCCTCATCCATCGCGCCGCGCGGACTCGTCGCGATCACCTCCGTGATGATATTGTTGAGGTAGTCGCCGATGTCGTTCTTCATCTGCAGCAGGGTACCGGTACCAGGCGGCGGCGCACTCACGGCGACACTCGTCGTAGCCGGCACGTTGCCGTTGTTGCTCCTGCGACGCGTGTCAACGTCGAACTCGTCCGAGTCCGGTAAACGCAGGGACGCCATCTCCAGGAGGGGAGACGGTGGCTGCAGCATCGGTAACTTGAGCGTGCTGAAGTGACGGATCGACGTCTCGACCATTAGCCGAAACGTAGCAGCGTGTCGTCGTCGCCTCCTCCGTCGTGCTGTTCCTCCTCTTCCTCCGCTTCCTCCTCGTCGCCACCTCCTCGCCACCGCCTTCAGCTGCTGCTGCTGCTGCTGCTGCTGGCGTATCGCGGCCGTCGACCCCGCGACCAACCTCGACGCGCCTACGCGACCTTCCCGTTCGCGCCCGGGTCGCCGGAAGTCGCTTCGTTTCTCACTTCGCTGAGATCTTGTGCCGGCTACTCGCGAGAGAGAGAGAGAAAGAGAGAGAGGGAGGAAGAGAAAGAGAAAGAAAGAGAGAGAAACGCACTGTCGCGGCTGCTAGGACTTGCTGAATCCGCGGGAGAAAATCAACGATCTCGAGGCAGACCGCTCTTGATCGTGAAGGGTTAAGCTTCGCCGGTGGGACGCGGCTCCCGGCGCGACCACCGGCTACCGGAAGAAGAACGCCGGATGACAGCAGCGACGAGCCAGCGTCCAAGCCGACATCGATCTCGCGGGGACCACACGGTATGATCGCACGGTGTTTACGCGTCGGGAGCCGAGGAACACACCTCAGCTCAGCCGGGAGCGACTCGCACGTGTGCCAAAGTGTGGCCGTCAGGTCGACACGACCCCCCGTGGACCGGAGTCGTGGATCGAGACGGAGGGTGATCAGGGGGGGATCGAGGGAGAAGATCGAGACAGGGTGAGACCGGGTCCGACGATCTGTCGGATACGGTGAAAAAAGGGGGATGGGAAGTGGGGCGACGGGGAGACGCGAAGCGTAGTACGAGCGACGAGAGGAGCAACGTGTATGGAAATATGTATGCCGCGACCGGATGCTGGAGCGACTAATGAGTCTGCCTTAGAAGACGATCGCGAACTGCCGCGAGATGCACCCGTCGCGGCGAGCTGTCTGGCGATGCTCGACGACTGCGCAAGCGTTACATCCAGCAACGGCACATGCACCCGCATGCGACGTGCTCGCGCGCACTACCCGCGGAGTAGTAGTAGGCTACGCTACGGAATAAAACGGGGAGGAAATGGAAAGAGCGCCGCGATGACGGCCGCGCGACGCGAGATCTTCCGCATAGGAGCGAGTTTCGCTGAATTACAGCGGCCGTTCTCGCGATGATCGCCCGAAAACTGCGCTCCCGAAGGAGCGATCTTACCTTCAGGCGGAAATTTCAAAAGCCCATTGTTTCTCGATTATTCAATGTTCCAGTATTTCAGTGTTCTTGTGAGAGAGACTCGAGACAAAATGATCATACACGAAGTTTGGCGCGAAGAGTTGCCGAAATTATACCAGTCTCCTAAATCACATTTCATCAATTTCTCTATTATTATATGAACGACATCTAACCGTAAGAAAATGAGAAATAAATAAAAGAGAAAGCAATAAGAAATACAAACAAAACATTTTCAGATTACACTTTACACGTGCTACAAACATTTAAAAAAAATTAGATAGCATTGATAAGATACAATTTAGGAGACTGGTACGATTTTGTAAAAAGTGTATACAAAGTGTTCGGCGTGTAACAATCCACACGGTTTATGAGATGTTTCCGACAGTTTAAAGAAAAGATTGCAAGATGAACATTTACCTGTTTCATGCAAGCTACCACTTGCAATAAAAAAATGAAAAAAAAATAATTTCTAATAAACAAATCAATGTTCAATTTTTTAAGTGAATTTGTGTAATTTTTTTTATAATATTAGGTACTTTAAGATGAATTTTTTAATATATTATCAGAAATGTCAATTTCATGAATATTTAATATCAAATTTGCGGTATTATTTTAAACTGCAGTACTTAAAAGCTCAGAATTTTCAGTGTTTATGTTTACATTTTTAACTGGAGTTTAAGCATTGCTATTTAAAATAATGCTGCAGATTTAATATTAAATATCAATAAAAGTGATACTTTTGATAGTGTGTTAAATTCGTCTTAAATTTCCTTCAGTGAAAAAAATTACATGTACAAATTGCAATACAATTGAGGTAAATATTTATATTGGTAGCAGCCTCTGATTGTTGACGTTTAATTAAAAATAAACTATTGTTTCCTTTTTCTATTCAGAAGCATTTTCTTTTCGGTATGTATAAGTGTAAATAATTATATATATATATATATATATATATATATATATATATATATACATATATATATA